TCTATATGTTCTGGATATAACGCATATCCGATGGAGTTGCAATCGAATGAATCTGCTGATTCACAATACACTTATGAGGTGAGACCAATAAGCTGCTATGTGATAAAGGCTGTCGTGGATTAGTGGCCAGTGGCGCTGCCAGCACGTATGTGACTGTGGCGATCAAGTCCGTGATCAATATCCGCTGAAGCCAGGCAGACTCTCCACCTCCCTGTGACCAGAAATATAATAATACTCGCCTAAAGGCGTCAGAGACGTTTGCCATCAAAAAATTACATCCGTGTTTTAATAAATGTCCTTGTTCAGATAAAAGGATCAAGTGTGGACACCTTACAAAAGCTCAGAATTGGTGTCGGTGAAATGGAGAACAACGAGCGGTTCTACATCAAAAAGGTAGGTTTATAGTTGAATCGATAACAATTTAGCTAAAGCTAGAAGACCACAACCCATGCCACTGAGCATTTTTGTATGCCCCGCCCTTAGGGGGTGGAGCTCCGTCGAGTCCACGAGCACTCTATTGGTCTTGTCTTATGCCCCGCCCGACCTCTCCAAGTGCTCCTCGAAGTAATTCCGAATATTGTGACAGACTGACGCGAGCACTTCAAATATGGTACCCAGTCTGAGCTCCCCTTTCTGGTGACAAATGTCGTTGGCGTAAAAAAAAACTCTCAACTAACTACGATTTCCCTTCTACGAGTGTAGTTACATACCTCTTTTGGCCTTTTTGTGAGTAGTAGATGGGAGCTATACGAATGAAGCCATTTGGGGTGCTTTTAAGGGGTACTCCTTTATTCTTTATTTAACTTGTTTATAGACATTTTGGATTATCTGGGCGCAATTTGGATTATCCGGTGGTTGAACTCATTATGTCTAAACTTACCAGTTATAGATGCGACTGGTAAACCAGACAACGAAGACTGTTCTCCGATTCCCGAGTGTAGACACTGAATTTGAAAGTAATCAAGTGTACGAGTTTTCGCCCGTCTATCCAGACGTCCAACCTGCTTTGAGTAAGTCGACCTTTCAACTTTCGCTCTTGTCCCCTTCCATATTATTTTCAAAACTATCATTTTCACTGAATCCACTCAAGACTCATTTTGTAGATATCCTCTACACGGTCACTCTAATGACGACCGCCAGTACTGGTACCTTCCGACCTTCGATAAACATCATCGGTGAAGAAGGAGACAGTGGTATGCGAAAGTTCTACGACAACATCCCGTACGCAGAAGGCTCTGTAAGTCCTCGTTCGAATTGTATAGTTCCCATATAGAATTTTCCCACTCTTTTTATATTACCGTAGGAGCACTCATTTCAGAAACACAGCTTCGACGCCGATGCTGTCAATCTAGGTCCACTGCAAGATGTAGAGGTGCTCATTGAAGGAGATGAGGTAAGACTTTGCCTTCATTCAAATTGGTTTCATACTCAGCGGCCCAACCGCCGGCTCCTGCAAAGCATGTATATTGATTTTTTCGAGCGCTCTGACCCACTAGGGGTAACGGAACTTCTCCCCTATCGCGGCATTCTCCCTTGCGGCATGCGGCAAATGTCACTGCAACTACCGCACTCACCCCGCTTCCCCGCCAATCGATAGGACGCGATATTTTTTGTTGATTGC